GGGCTCCTAGACGAGGTCCACTAGGATGGCAGGGAGGGCACCCGCAGCGTGTCGTCCACGGGGCGTCCATCCACGGGGGTGGTCTTCCCGAGCGAGGGTGACGACCAGATCCATGCGCCGGACGAGCTCGAGACGAACGTGCGGATCGAGTACGAGGTCGTCGACGGCAGCGGACGCATGTTGCTGCCTGATGCGCCTGCCTTGCTCGGTTGCGCGCACCAAAGGTGGCGGGCGCGCAGCGCTGACCCCTGCCCCCCCTGCCAGGTGCGGCGGCTTTGGCTGCGGCGGGATGATGATGAACAACGGCATGGGCTGCTTCGGGGCCGGAGGAAGCTGCCGCGGCATGCCGCCCATGAACGGCATGGCCGGGATGGGCGGTTGCGGCGGGATGGGCAACGCCATGGGCGGCATGGGTTGCGGCGGGATGGGCGGCTGCGGCGCGTCCACCCTCGCACACACGCACGCTTCTGCGCCCGTCTCGGTCTCACGAGCCCACCTGTTGTCGTCCAGGCGGGATGGGCTTGCCCATGGGCGGCATGGGCTGCGGCGGCATGGGCGGCTGCGGCGCCTCCAACCTCGCACGCACGCGCTCTTGTGCTCGGTTCGGCTCTCACGAGCCCGCCGTTCCCCTCAGGTGGCGGCATGAACGCGATGGCCGGCATGGGCGGCATGGGCGGCTGCGGCGCGATGGCCGGCGGCATGAACATGCTGAACGGCATGGGCGGCATGGGCGCTTGCAACATGGGCGGCAGCGCGAGCGGTGCTGACTCCGCCCCAATCGCCTTGCTTTGCGACTCACGTCCCGTCCCACGCATGCAGGCGGGATGGGCGGCTGCGGCGGGATGGGCGGCTGCGGTGGGATGGGCGGCTGCGGTGGGATGGGCGGGTTGGGCGGGATGGGCGCCTGCGGCGGCGGCATGAACATGATGAACGGCGGCTGCGGCGGCATGAACATGATGAACGCCGGCTGCGGCGGCAACGGTGGCGGCGGTTGCGGCGGCGGCGGTTGCGGTGGCGGCGGCGGACCAGACCGGACGCAGAGGACAAACTACCGCCAGGCACCGTACTGAGGGCAGGTCGAGCGCATGTTGACTGTCGTTGGCACAGGTCGTTCGTCGTACTTCGTCCCGTCTACTTCGTCGTTGATGCGGAGAGGTCTACCTCGTCGCGTGGCGTGCCATGGTGCCCTTGTACGAGTGGCAGTGCTTGGTTGTCACGTTGGGGAGCTCTTTGGCTGAGGTCTTGGTTTTTGGGGAGGGGGGGGGGGGGGGGGCAGGGTCGTAGGCTTGGATAGCTCCCGCGCCGCTGCCGTGCCGTTGCTTTTGTGGCTAGGCGCACGCTCCTGTCGTTGCTGCCGGACTCGGGCAGCGGTCTCGAATCTCTGATCCGCGCCGGCGGCCGCTCGTAGGTCCGGGGTGGTGAAGGCCGCGGCGCGGCGCACGGCAGTTCACCTCGCAGCACGCGCGACTGGTCTGTGTCGGCGGCGGCGCGGGGGCTTTGCTGGGAGATCGGGCGCACATGTAATCGTCGGCCACGCGTCATATTTCGCCACAGACACCGTTGCTAGAGCTACGGGAACACACGGAGACGACCGAGCTTTCTGTGGTCTCGCGAGAAGCCTATCAGCTATCTCTGACACTAGAGTCACTGGTATGCGACGAAGGCACATCTCTGTAAACAACGACCGGGCCGATTCGAGGATCAGTAACCAGCCTCCGGCGGGGCCCCCCGCTACCATCCAAACCCGAGTACAAAGCGCCTCTCTCCGAGAGCGCTGCGCAGACGGTCTACTTACTAATCATAGAGGCTCAAGTGCGACAAGTCCACACACATAACATGCGACACGGGTGCCATACACAAAGCATTACTCTCACGACACACGGGCACCGGAGCGGCGGCAGCGGCGGCAGCAGCACGCGCGGGCGGACGGATTCGGACGGGGCGGAGCAGCGACCGCCTGGGCGGCCGCTGCTCTGTCTGCCAGAGCGCGCCGTCTGCGCAGCGCGGTCAGGTGCAGGGAAGCGTGGCGGCGCGGGGAAGCGCGGCGGCGGTGGCGAGCAGGCGAGCGGCCCGCGCGCGGCGAGGCGGACAGGTGATCGGCAGGCGGGTGATGGGCCGGAGAGTGACCGCGCCCAGCGATCGGAGCGAGCCGATCGTCGCTCGGCCGCAGCTGACCTCGAAGGCGTGCGGAGCGCGACTGTCGGTGTCGGGGGGCGGCCGTCATGTGGCGAGGAGGGAGGACGACAAGTGCGCGTCGTACGGGTCGCTCTTCATCGGCCAGTCCAGCGGCACTCAAGTCGAGCATGGGCGACGAAAGCCGGTGGGGGCCGGTGAGGCCGGCGAGATTCGTTGCGAGATACGGTTCGCGCCCAAACACAAGTTTGGACACTCTGGGGACGCGCCGCAAAATCAAGCCATTGGAAAGGGGGCTACTGGGGCGGCCAAATTCACACCTCGCGGGACTACTTATGTTTTCGTAAACGTAGTCGTGGCCCCCCGCTACGTCGCACGAGTGCAACCGGGTAGCGGGGGGCTATAAATCATCCTTTGGAGCTACATGAGAGGCTCTCTTAAAGTACTCTGAGAGGTTGAGACTGGTCTCAGCCTTAAAAGCGACTTGAACAGTTTTTTTGTCAGAGTCTCCAAGATGTTGGACTTTCTATTCAGCCACGATTTTACAACTTTGGGGGCAAAATCGGTCGGCTCTCTGGCGACAATTCCTAGCCCACGAACTGCTGGGGGGTGCCCACCACATGCTAGGGGGGGGGTCCCGACCCCCCCCAGAGGCTTCACCACATGCTAGGGGGGGGGTCCCGACCCCCCCCAGAGGCTTCACCACATGCTAGGGGGGGGGGGGGGGCGTGAGCAAGGGCGCCCCCCTCCCTGGAAGCGATGTGCGCCTGCTCCCGCCGTCTCGCCTGAGGGAGGGTGTAGAGGATGTAGAGTGTAGAGCGCTGTAGAGCTGTAGAGATGTAGAGCGCTCTGGAGCGCTGTAGAGCTGTAGAGCTCTACATCCGCCGCGTGACGAGGCGCCTGCGTTGTAGAGCGATGTAGAGCGCGATTTTGTTGTAGAGTTTGTTGTAGAGGCTCTACAGCCAAACCGCCGGGAAGGCAGTGACTCAAAGAGGTCGAGCCGCGCTAATGGGGTTTTACCGAGCTTAGTGAAGCTCTGATGGACAGCCCTGACTATCCCTGACACACAGAGAGTCCCTCTGACGGCACACAACACCCTATAACTGCGTCATGACCAGCCTGCCATGTGTCGCCGGTGCCGCATTCGTCGCTGTGCTTCTTTAGCAGGCGGTGGACTGTCGGCTGCGAGGACGGTCGCATTTGCGCGAGGCGAGGCGAGCATTCAGACGCCTTATCTGCGCCATGACTCGCGCCAGCGCGTGCGGGAGCTCCTGGCTGAGCGTTGAGTCCAGGCGAGTTGCGCTGGCCACGATCGCTACGCCGAGCCGAGCTGACGCGCCGAGGCGCCGGCCAGTCGCAGCCGTGAGGCATGCCACAGCAGCAGAGGCATCTGCCACCCATTGGGCGGGCAGACAGAAGGCCAGGGCAGCACTGGCAAGTGCAACGCGCCTCATGTCGGAGAGCGACCGTGCCTCGTTCGCCGCTTATGATGTAGAGTTTGTTGTAGAGATTTCACGTTGTAGAGCGCCTCTACATCGCTCTACAACGCAGGCGCCTCGTCACGCGGCGGATGTAGAGCTCTACAGCTCTACAGCGCTCTACATCTCTACAGCTCTACAGTGCTCTACACTCTACATCCTCTACACCCTCCCTCAGCGTCTCGCGCGCCTACGTCGCCGCCGTCGCCATCATGGGCCTCGCTGCCGAGACGGTGCTGTTGCATCTGACTCAACTCTCCCAGCCCACCCCCCTGGCTCCTATGCCGACGTGTCCCGCGTGCTCCCCCGTCCGCCGATGTCTCTGCTGCCGCCTGGCGGAGCTCTGCAGCGCGGGCCCTCGCCTCGCCCCGCCGGCTTCGCTGCCGCTGCATCGCTGCCGGCTCGTCATGTCTGTCTACGGTCATTGGGGGCTTC